ATACATCTCTGCAGCTTTTTTTTTAATTCATAAAGAACTAAAAACAGCTTAAATGCGTAGGAAGAAAGAGATAGTTAAATAAATTAGAACTTATCTGTCATAATGTTATACAGCTATGAAGAATGAATGAAATTAATGATAAATTCATAAATTTAAAAGGCAGTATTCATTTTAAAAGCAATATATAAAATAATATTGACTATATGATTTAAAAGTACATACAGATAAAAATATACCAAAAATTTAACAGTGTATTTGCTAGAAATATATAAAAAAATTAATAGTGATTAACAGTGGTTATATAAAAGAAAATTCTTAATGCCCATCATCTTTCTTATGCTTTTCTATATTTCCAAGTTATATACAATAATCACAGTAGTAGGTATTACTTTGATAATCAGAAAAAAATTGTAAAAGCCTAAATAGGAAAAAAATTAAATATCTATATTGGCACTGTATAAGTATGGTTGATTAAGGATTGTGTGTTTTTCTAGTTTCCACATCTTGGAATGTAGTTATGCTAAATTTGTAATTTCAAAACCTATAATATTTAGTAAGGCGACCCATGCTATACCTTATTTGCCTTCTGGTAAGCCATGACATTAATAATAACACTTTACATTTATGTAAGGATTTACAATTTACAAGGTATCTCACTTGCATTATTTCATTTGATTCTCACACTTGTGTAAAGTAGAAACTGTTACCATGCTACAGTTGTGGAAATTGATTCAGAGATTGAGGTCCTCCAAGTCATTTGGTAGATACCTAACCAAACCAGTGTTGAACCCAGTGGTTAAGCTTCCAAACGCGCTCAGGGTTTCCATGGAATCATTTTCACAGTTCTCATCAGGAAGGATAAAGCACTATGCCACTGCAAACATAACACTAGGGCTGTAAACAACTAAGACATTTACTGGAAGAGAGTGACTTTGATTCATTTTACACCTATTCTTTCCACTGTCCTAATAATGATTAATTTTTTTTTAAAAATCAGGCTTTTAGCCTGGGTGGCTCAGTAGGTTAACTGTCTCCCTTTGGCTCAGGTCATGATTCCAGGAGCCCTGCTCAGTGGGGAGCCTGTTTCTCTCTCTCTCCCTCTGTCCTCCCCCCTCCCCCCACTCTCACTCTCTGTCTCTCCAAATAAATAAATAAAATCTTTTTTAAAAAAAGTTAGGCTTTGATGTTTCAGTTAGTACCTTTCCAACACATCCCCAATCCTTTGATATGCCCAACTAATTAAGCAGTGATGTAGAGTTTGCATGAAGTACTTTTTAATTAGCTACAGTGATTCCCAAATTATTCAGCCTGGGCTCAGGACCCTTAATATTCAAAATGACAATCTAGTGCATGTAAACTCTTTATTTAAATAGTGACATCTGAGATTAAGCTCAATAAAGGTTTCTATGGAAGCTAACTGCAATATCAAAACTTACCAACACACCAAAATGATCCAATTAGTAGAGGTAAAAATAAGTGATGGAAAGAGCAGCTATTGATACTATGTAAGGGTTCATCCAACTTCCTCACATTAATTTTCATAAATGTGTCTGCATATTCATTAGAAGACTATGCAATTTATTTGCTATTCAACGATCTCAACTAGATAAGAAGGATACATGAAGTGGAAGTTTAGTTGTTCTTCAATAGCATTGAAGCCAATTTCATAGAAACACAGACATTAAAACTGAAGAGCAAGGTAAATTTACATGAATGTATACACATAGATAATGTAAACAGTGCTAAAGATAAATTAAAGATAAAATTCTAGGATTCCTGCAGCAGAAGAGATCAATAAAGTTCATGAATTAGTTCCAAATAGAAAAGTTAAATAAGGCTTCAGTCTTCCTTACAACTAAGAACAAAGGGAAATATTTGCTAAGCTTGACTGCAGAATGAAATGCAAACATAAACATATTTATTAAAGGTTGTAATCACATAAGAAGCTCTTAATGATAACTCTGAGAGTCAAGTATAATATAAGAGCAACACATGAATGTGCAATTTTTTAGAAGTTTTCTTCTATGAACGTTAACCAAGTTCAGATTTAAACCTTGACATTTGGATGCACTGGGACAACTGAAGACCCAAAATGGTTTTCAAAACATACATGGCTACAGAATTCTAACTTTTGTTTTTGAAAGCTTAGGTCACAAGACATTTTCTTGGAAATCCTTACAAAAAGACATCCAAGTATGTCTAATAAGTAGTATTCTAAATTTTATTAATAAAACACAATGACCAAGTGACATATATAGCTGCACCACTAACAGACATCTCAAAATTAACCCACCTGAAATCTAGCTCCTGATCCTTTCTGCTTTTCTTGGAGTCTTTCCCATCTCAGTCAATGGTGACACCATCTTTAATGCCTGTCCATCATGCTGTGTTATCAACCCAGGATGGACAACTGGCTTTGAATGGCACAGTGGTAGACCAAAGGGGATCTATTTTTGTCACATTAAGCAATACTGAAAAAGGACAGCGGAGAGCAATGTCTCTACACAGTAATGATAACACTCATAAAACTTACCGTGTTAAGAAGATAGCAGGAGGGGAAGAATGAAGGGGGAAATCGGAGGGGGAGATGAACCATGAGAGACGATGGACTCTGAAAAACAAACTGAGGGTTCTAGAGGGGAGGGGGTGGGGGGATGGGTTAGCCTGGTGATGGGTATTAAAGAGGGCACGTTCTGCATGGAGCACTGGGTGTTATACACAAACAATGAATCATGGAACACTACATCAAAAACTAATGATGTAATGTATGGTGATTAACATAATAAAAAATTAAAAAAAAAAGAAGTATGGTAGTTCTTGGGGGGCAGAAAAGGACATCCAGTGGAGTTCGCCAAGCCCTGAAAAACTTGGAACAATGTGCTATCCTTTCCTGGCATGCCTTCAGTGAGCAGTGCATGGGAATTATCTGACCCACCAGGAAATGTCACTCCTATTGACAGATGAGTGCAGAGTTTCTTGCCACCTATGTCCACATACACCCATGTTAGTGGTGTGGTCCTGGATAAATAACATTATCTTATCTTCTTCAGACTTGTATATTGAAGCGAGTCATAAAGAAGAAAAAGGGATCAAAGCAGTACTGCTTACTTATGTCTATGGCTAAAATTTCCTAAGCATGCTTGCAATAAAATCTCTTCCCTCTGGCTTGAATACTAGATACCTGAATCCTCAGTTTTCTTCTCCTTGACCTGCATTATCTCTTCTTACAACTTGCTCCACCAGAGACCAAAGCAGTTCTTCCAGAATATAGAAACATGAATCCTTGGGGTCATACACACACTCTCTTCATTCTAGCTATTTTATAAATTAAGATGGCAATTCAGTCTTTGGCACTCTAGCCTTGACACCTTCTACTCATTCAACAAGTTGTAAGGGGGCTAGAGTTGTAACCTCTGAGTTGTTATTTTGTGAACACAAATTACCTGTGCAGATTCTTTTAAAGTTGGGATTTTCCAGAAGGTGTCCTGGTAGGCGGCACTGGAACCGATGTTGCCAGAACTCAGGGAACCAGGGATTCCTTGTATTAGTGTCCAGCCTCAGCTTCAGGAAATAATCATCAAATGACCTGACCTCTGGAGATTGCAGCTTTATTGTGATTCCCCCGTTGGCTTCCACCTCATAACCTTCAATGACTTCATCTCTGTCTGCCCATCCATCACTAAAAAAATTCAGGGATTGGGGCGGGGAGAGAGAAAGACAAAGGTCTCACAAATAGGGCTCAGCATTATGCATGAATGAAGCAATTCAGCAAGGCTGAAAGTCTATTTTAAGCCAGAATTGCTACCTATCAATGACTTTTTTTTTTTTGGTGGAAGAGTAGTAAATTCTGAAATCATAAAGTCCTGTTTGTTTGTTTTTCACAGTAGTGAAAGTGATGATGAAGATGATGATAGTAGCAATGACAAGAACTAACATTTATTGAGCATTTACTAGGCATCAGATTCTGTACTATTTACTTTTACTCAGTCAGATGTTCAGCAACTAATTGAAGTCCCAGTGGAATCAAAATATGGATCCAGGCAGTCTGGCTCCCAAACCCAGTGCTCTTTAGGCCACAAAACCCATCAGCTACTGTCCCAATCAGAATAAAGTAAAACCCAGGCACTCGGGGCCTTCACAATAAGAGCTCAGCAAGGTTTCAAGGTTGCAGCCAAGACCATTATATGAGCTGCATTTATGAGGTTGAAATTGATTTAGCTCAGAAGCATGACAACCACAGATTTTGTGCCTGGACATTGTTCAAACTTGCATCGCCTAGAAGTGATCAGATGCTTCCCCCTCAGTGTTATCTCAAAATAGCAGCATTATAAGAAAACAATCCCACTCCCCAAAATAAAAATAATCCTCCTGCTCACTAAAAGGAAGTTAACTGATACTTTATTCAGTGAATTCAATTTTTTAAAAAAATTTGGTCACCTTCTAGAACATTCATATCAGTCATGAGTGATGTAGCTCCAATTTAATTTAAGTGTACATATGAGCCGGGCCAAACCTCACATGAGAGTTTTTGATCCCTTCCCAGCAGGTGCCAAAAAAAAAAAACTGCACCAGTTAGAGTTAAACAGGTAAAAAAGACTTTATTCAAGGCTATTCCAATAGGCCAGAGACACTGAACTCCATCTGCTGAAACAAAAGTTGGGGGAGATTTAGGTGCTGAGATGAGCTAGTGAGCGAGTGCTAGGGGACATTGAGGGGAGCCTGGTCAATGTTATTAGCCATCTGTGTTTGATAATTGTCATTTATCTAAGTTAAGCTCCCACCCTCCCACAGAAACTGGGAGACAGGGGTTTGCTATCATTCTTGATGATTACATTTCAAAGGGATGGCTTCCGGGTCCTTAAGAAAGAAATTTCTCTGCTGTAAAAACTGGCAAGAGGCTAGGAGAAAATGTACACCTCCGAGGGACAGAGAAAGAATTTATGGCAGCATTTTTAAAATTAAATGCTCTAAGGAGAGGGAAGTCAAGGGGTCCATCGTCAGGAAGAAACTTGTCTAAAGTTGAGTCAAACTGAGGAGAGGGTTAAAGATTGTCAAGAGGTGGATTTATTTATACCCATAGGGTCATACCCTGCAGTTTCTGGAACACAACTGTTCAGTCTCTGCCAGAGAGAGTGTTTTATCACTTGCTTCTCACAGAGCAGGGACCTGGGCCAAATATATATGGCTGACCATAGTTCACCCTTGTTAAACTGAGATCAATTGGAATAAATGTGTCCTCCATTTAGCTGAGTTAATTGGTGCAGTTCTGTTCCAGAATCTTCCCAGTGAACCATACAGGAGCTGTATTTTCAACAGACCAAAGGTTGTAGAAGGTATAGCTGACTTAACATGATCCAGAACTGAAGGGACCTTGAGGTATAGTGTGGTCTAACCAGCCAGATCAGAGAATGATTATATGCTTCTTCTAAATCCATCGGGATAGAGATTTTACAATCTTGCACAGACCTTTCCTTCCCCCCACAACCCCCCATCATTTTCTTCTTTCCTTCCTTCTGTCCTTCCTTCCTTTTGCATTTACCTAGATACTCTGCTATGCTCAAGATTCAATTAAGAATGAGACACACTATCCTCTTCTTCTAGTGTTACAGACTTGTGGGAAGAACAGACACCAAACAAGAATTACAAACACTGTAAAGGTAAAGAAGGAAAAGTGACCAGTTCTGCAAGGATGAGGGGCTTAGGGGTTTAACTTAGTCAGGTGTGTATGTATGTATGTATATAAATGTGGGTAGGGAGAAAGTAATTAGGGATGACTATCCTGAGAAAGTTATATCTGAGTTGAGACCTAAAGGATGTGTGGGCATTAGTCAGATGAAGAGATGAGGAAGGAGGTATAGAAGGTTCCTGGTAGATTATCTAATATACGGGAAAGAGCATGGGCCATTTGTAGAATTTGGAGAGTCAGTATAGCTGTAGCATAGAAAGAAGTATAGCAGGAGACAGGAGTGTGGGCATAAATTCCAGCTTAGTTACCATTAGCCTAAGGACTGCAGAAGTCTTCAAAGTGCTTTAAGCCTATTACATAATAAGGCCACTGCACTCTGCCCCCTGGTGGGGAATGACCTGAGTCTTTCTAACAAGTCCCGTTCTAATCACCATCACTGGATATGACGGCTCGTCAAACTGATTTTAAAAAAGACAGACTCTTTTATCTTTCTATATGCTCAGTCTACTTAGAAAGGCTTGAACTAGTTTATTTAGATTATTCACATTATATCATAACTACATTTATAGCAATTTGAAGACCTGAACTATAGGGTTAAGGGTAAAAACAAAACCAGTTAGGCTTTCAAAAAATTCTGTTTATGAGTATATATTTAAAATCAAAATGACTTATAATATGAAGGAAAAAAATTCCTTTTCGACATAAAATTTAAGCTTGAAGTGTGTCTCTCCCCAAGATTTAATATTATGTGAGACTTCTCTGTGTGTGAATGTATAGTCTGAATAAGAAACCCACAATTTTTTAAGTGTATGAAATGAGCCCTCAACACTGTTTATTTGCATTTCTTTTTTTTTTTTTTATCATTCCCAGTTTATAAAAGCAAGTATCATGTGTCAGTGCTGGAAGCAGAGAAAGTGTGACCTCCTGCCCTTTTGCCTTCCAACACAGAGGAGCACATCATGGGAGTAAACCTGAATATAGAAAATTTGAAGTCAGATGGTTTAGTGGGGCAGAGTCTTAGATCCCCTTTGCCATTGATTAAAGTCCTTCCTCTTAACTATTGATGACCTCATTCTAGAAATTAGAGTTGGTGTTAAACCCAAGAAGTCATGAAATCAAGGAGAACCAGGATGTGACAGAAAAAAATATTCAGCTAGGATTGGTTGGTGAATACTTTTGAAGGGTTAATCACTAGATTTTTATATGAGATCTTAAATCTATCACAGGTAAGGTGTTAGGGAATGCTAACAAAAAGTTGCCGAAAAACATCCATAAAGCAATTCTTGGTTTTTATATATTTAAATCATTTTGTTTACAGTCCACTTGCCAAATGTATTTACAGAGAATTTTAAAGGATTTTTGTGTTCAGTTGTTTTGGGACTTTTTACAAGGATATTGTTTTGGTGAATTCTCTGTGAAGCATACTTGAAAACAGGGAGGCAGCAGCTCTCCTCATACCGGGTTTGGGTGTTTACTTTTGTTACTGTTGTTGATGGTGATGGTAGGAGTGTGAACTATGCGACCAGAGATGACCTGCAGGCACCTGCTCACCCCAGGCTTCTGCAGCGAATCCTGCTGTGCTGGGTGCTGAACTCTATGAGGCATATTCACAGCCTCCAGCAGCTTCTGCTGCCCATCTGTTCCCCAATGATGAGTTCCTTTTCCTATCTGGGGTCTAGAAATAAAGCTGCAGAATGTGGATAAACAAGTGAACATTTAACAGACAGCTACATGTCTTTAAGTATTCCTCACAAAACACAAGAATCCTTGCTCCTTGTCCCCCTCAACAATTTTATACAACAGTTCTTTCACAAGGCTGTTCTTGTCCCAAAAATCATTGTTCTAGTCCCTGTGAAATTCCACAATCCCAACCTGAATAATCAGAAGATTTGTTCCACTGAATAAATTCTGATGGAAACAACAGGAAAATATTGTTTCTAATTCTACCAATTATGACTGGCCAGGTGCTGCATGAGTGTCACTTTTGCATTATATAAATTAAAATAACTTAATAAGCAGATTGACATTAAGAAATACAATAGTATTCATTTACAAATTGTTTAAAAACATTTTAGAAGAACATATTTATATTCAGTTAAAATAATTACAATCTAGGGAGCAAAGCAATTTGATTTGTGTTGAGTACAAGTCACTGTGTGTACCTGAAAATAAAGCTATCATTCTTTTAAAATATTCCAGAGATTACCATATAAGCAAGAAAATGAGAAAAGAATAATAAAAATATTTTCAAAAACATATGTAAACAAGCACAAAATTCTATTAATACAATGCTAACCATACTGATAAAGGCTGAAGAAATGTCACCTGATGCAATTTAAATCAAGTGATGTCCATTGTGGGAAATTTTCTGGCGGTAATGGCAGCTTTTTCAATAAGAATTCAGACTTGCTTTCCTCATAAGAATCCTGTATGAGTTAGGCATTTTGCTTACCGCTACAGATACATTGCTAAGCAGTACAGGCAAGGCCCATGCTCTCAAGGCAATCACAGTGGCGGGGAGGACTAGCCACTTAATACATAATAGCCACAGGGAGTTGTGGCAGCTGATAGGAAAGGAAGGTGGGCTACACGGAAGCACAGAAAAGGGGCAGGGTCCTGTCAAGGGAGGTTTTGCCGGAGGAGAAGTAACATCTAAGAAGAGACTTAAAGGATGCATTGAAGCTACACAGTAACACGGGAGATGGAAGAAAGGACCAGCTCAAAAGAGTACAAAGTTATCAAACAGCAAGGTGATCAGTTTGCTTAGAGTGTGCCAATAAAGGAATGACAGGTCAAGCCAGTGAGATCTAGAAGAACCTGAACATCCTTGTTAAGGATTTGGGATTTCATTTTTATGGTGGTGAGAAACTATTCAGATTTTAAACAGGGATATGACATGATTAGGTTTGTTTTAGAAAGGTCATTCTAGAAAGTACTTAAGAGTGTAGGTACTTGTGGAGGTTCTTTGGTTGTAGAATTCTCAGACAAAAGCT